GCCGGCTGGCTGGAGCGTGACGGTCCCGTTGGCAGCCGGTCCCAAGCGGCGTTCCCCAGGTCTCAGTACTGGGACCAGCTGTTCAATATCTTCATCAACGATCTGGACAAGGGGACAGAACACACCCTCCGTTCACAGACAGCACCAGGCTGGGTGGGAGCACTGATCTGCTCGAGGGCAGGAAAGCTCTACAGAGGGATCTGACGGGCCGGATCGATGGGCCGAGGCTTTTCACCCAGTCTTACCAGCCTTCTGCAGAGGGCTGGGGAGGAGCCTGGCATTTACTGAGGACAGGAGGAACAGCCTTTGGGAAGATTCTGGAGGAGAGAAGCCTGTGCTGCTTGTAGCACTTGCAGAAGTTTGGTCACCAAAGAAAAGGGGGTGGAGGAATTTGGTGGTGAGCCATTACTAAAACAGAGGTCTGATGCAGGCACTCTGCTCCACCCAGGTCAACAAAATTAAATGTAAAAAGTTATTTACAGACTGACTCTGCAACGCACAGAGCACCGGTGGCACTGCCAGAATGACACCTGGCTCCTGGAGACACTGCCTTCATCTCAGCTTAGCTGTTAAACCATTAGCAGAGAAAATAGCACAAAAAAGAACCATTTGTTTGGCTCAGAGAACTTCTGTTTGAACATACCTCGGTTTGTAATCATAGAAATGTCTAAAAAAAGGCCTTTATTTTTTTTTTTCCCTTTTGGTGATTCTAGAAACCAGAAAATGCCTCTTTGATGTTGTTTCAGAGGACAGTCCATGGCTGTTCCTACCAGTAAAAAGAATGTACAGGCTAAGAGATGCGGGCACACAAAACACACACAACATTGGCAAAACACCTAGGCAACACGCTGCGCCGAAAAATATCGACATGAACTTTTTTCACAAAATATATTGAACAGCACTTGCCCGTTGACAAATACCTCATCAAAGAAGCTACAGAACTTGAAGTTTCTTCCAGTGCTGCTCTGGACGGACAGTTTCACTTACATATCATGCCACTCGAGTCTGTGATGCGTGCAAGATAATTATCACGTGCAGAGGTAAGCAGCGTCCCAGGTTTTCTCAGCGTACGTATCCTGCCGTTGCTTCCAGCGTTAAGTCGAAGCTCAAGTCATTTTCAATCCATCAAAGCCACAAAACTTCCACCTTTTCTCTAGGCTGGCCCCAACCCCGCTCAGCTCCTGCCTGAACGTGTTCTGGAGCCGAGTCATGAGAACTTCCACTTCTGCGGTGCAGATCTGGGGAAAGAGAAGGCAAATGTCACCGAAAATGAAGAGGTTTTGGTTGTGGAAGCCCTGCAATGACTGCCACCTCACAGACTGGGATGAGAAGACCAGTTATCAGCTATGTCGTTAGAGGGTGGAGTGAGCCTGGGAAACACCAACCGGCGAGCTGTGCTTTCCTAGAATAGGGAAAATTAAAGAGTAAGTGCTAAACAAAAGCAGCTGGAAAAGCTCCAACCACAAGAAATTATTCCAACTGAAACAAAGCCGCTGAAAATTTTGAATTGGAGTAGTAAATGTTTCATCTAACTGTAATGGTTTAGGAAGACAAGAGTCAGGTGAGGAAGAACACCTACAAGCATTAAGCAAGAAATTAGCCAACCTCATAAGAGTACAAGGACGAGAAAATTAATTGAGAAAAAGGGACTCCACTGGGCAGAATCAGAAGAGAGGTCAACTAGCGGGCAAGGGAGGAAGAGTTCTTACTTCAGCCCTAAAGACCACGAGGGGGAACCTCTGTGCACGTGCAAAAGGACATCTGCATATGTTAATGAGTTCCAGGAAATCTTCTGTTTATGTAGAGAATTCCAGGGAATTTACCCAATACGTGTAAGTTTGCAACAACTATTCTCTGCAGCTCTGCTCCTTGGTTGGAGCGCTTAAGGTGGAGCTCTCCCGGTGCGGCACAGAAAGGAACGCCTGCTGACCAGCTCCAAGCTCTGGTGAGTTCATCTCCTCCAGTCACCACGCTGGCTAGCCCCCCAAACGGTACAGGAGAGGAGCGAGAGGCAGTTTCCTGGAACTCCTCTGCACAGTCCCTCCCGGTTTATCTGGAAAGGAGTCCAGAGCCAGGACACACAGAAATACCCAGGGAACAGCGGCTGCTTGCTATACCACAGAAAACGCACGTGCACGGCTCCTGGGGCTGCCCCTCTCCATCCCCACACTTAGCACTGAGCCCTGGAGCAGGGACGGATGCAGTGCTCGTGCTTTTTTGCCTCACACAGCACCCTCCTAAAAATGACTTCACGGACAATATCAGAGACAGAAAAGGTTCTGCGAAGGGCTGCAGGATGAGAAATACACAAAAACTTTGCTGAAAGACAGAAAAGCATTCTGACTGTTCAGTTTAGAGAGAGTATATCCAAACAGCGGCATGGCAGGTGTTAGAAGATAACAGTATGCAGGAGGCGGGTTGTTTGCTCTGCTCTTTAGAGGTCATAAGGGAAACCAAGGCAGCAATCTTACAGAGAATAAACAAAAATACCTTCCAGATGGAGATTTTAAAGGTGGAATTTACTGCTGCAAAACACAGCTACCGTCAAGGGGGTTTCTCGATGTACAAGCAGGATTAGACACGGACATCGGCAGTAGAACATCCCCCTCGCCCCTGTATTGAGGTTAACCTAAGCTGCGCCAGCGCTAAGCCAGAAGCTGGGTTGCTCTGAGCACCCTGGGCTAGGGGAAGGTGCCCCTGCCCACGGCAGGGAGGTTGGAACTAGATGGTCTTTAAAGGTCCCTCCCAACCGAAACCATTCTATGATTTTACGAAAGTTCGCCCTTTCCTTTGTTCTCTTCCAGTAAACTGTTCCAGTTCAAACACACCAGTCAGCCTGCACCGCTCCCAGGGCAGGAGCGAAGCCCCACAGACCCGGCGCTCGGGGCACACACACGCTGCCCGGGCTGGCGCAGGGAGCGGGGAGCGATGGTGCACCCACCTTGCTGTCCAGACGCTGCAGGTAGGAGCAGATGTACTCGATGCTCGCTCCAAACGGGTGCACGTGCAGAAACGTTGAAATTATTCCTGGGGAAAGGAACACCACAAAGGTCATTCTCATGAGACAAGAGCCAGCTGAGAACATCGGCGCTGTGTTCCTCCTGGCACAAAGGGATGGAATCGGGCATGTTTGGGTTTCAGTACAGGGAGGTTTGGCTCAGACGGCAAAGGAAGCGCCAGCTCACCAGTGCAGCTGGTCAGCACGTAAAACACACCCCACCGCTCTCAGACCTTGCCTGACCTGGTGATGTGCCCAGTGGTGAACCACACTGAGATGGTCACACACGTGGGATGTGTGTTTCCCTTTCCCAAGGAGCTACCCAGTGCTTAGGGCTGAAAAGTCACATCATGACATGTTATTTTTCAAGATTACTAGGAATAGGCAGGGGGAAAGGAAATAAAAAGGGCAGCAGATACCCCTGCGTTGTAAACCTGAGGTCCCCAATCCCTTGGTGAGCATCGCTTGAAAGCGCTGGCAGTACCATGAAGGGAGGTCTCCAGCATCGCCATCCCGCCCAGCAGAAGAACCTACCAACCAAGAGAACTTCTCGTTCGGATTTCACAGGACTATTGCTCAACGTCTTCTCAACCGGACACTCCTTCTCCTGGCTACACGCACACACTCTGGATGTGCTGCTCTCCTGCAACAAAACCAGAGGGCCCGTTCCGCACGGCAGGCACTCCCCCGCATCGCGCAGCAGCTCGGCCGGACTCCGCAGAGCCTGTATCTTTGTTTTCCTGTTTCTGTGAGTCACTGCATTCATCACATTGCTGTATCTACTGTTTATTTTGCAAAATGCTTCCAACAAAGCACAGCTATGCTCGTGCTGCTGTGTCTGAACCATTGAGTTAAAAGCCCACGGAGTTCAGCGAGATGCCACAACACATTTTACCAGCCCTGTTCACTGGTACGATGTCTGCTCTAGAAGAGCCTTATTTTAAATAATAAAAGAAAAAACAGACTAGAAAGCAAGTCTGCAGTGACTAATGCAGATGCAGATGTTTACTTTTCAGTTGCTTAAACCAAGGCAATGTGATTAATGCAGTGTCCAAGGGCAGCAAAGTGTTTAGGATCAGACTGTCCTTGACTCGGGTTTGTGATACTGAATTAAAACAGAATCTTGCACAATTTGTCATCCCCAAAATAAACACAAGACTGCCAGTGATGCAAAGACTTGGTGGGTGCACTAAAACCATGACTTTCTTTTATCCCTCAGTTTGATGCGGAATTCCAGAAGTCTGAGAGCAACAACTGGAAATAGCCTCCAGACGCTAGTGAAAGGGACTGGCCTTGGGCCAACAACAAGGACAGAATTAAACCGTCCCTTGGGTTTGCTTAGCTTCCTACGCCAGTGCAATTCTCAGCTACACAGGACTGAAGCTGTGCGGTCCTGGCCTAAGCAGGCTATCACTCCTTGCTACAGGAGAAAGTACAGGTCTGCACCGTGCAAAGGGAGCTGGGCTCCGGCTGCCCCAGGGACGCAGTCAGCCAGCAGTGTCACCCTGGCAACGCAGCGACCGCTTTCGCTTGGGGATCCAGCAGATATTCTTGAAGGCTCGTTGAAATAACAGTGCAACAGATTCTCTTGCACACCGACACCCATTTCCACACCAGTGTCACAAATCCCTACTGCTCTTCCAGACAGGAGCTGCTAGCAATGGATAACCTGATGGTTTTGATTTGCACGCAGCCTGTATGCACTGCGCTTACACGCTCCACAACAGACCAAATGGGAAAACACTGCTCATTGTATGAGGTGTCCTCACCTCCCTCAGTGAGATATTCTGACTAACGCAGCAGAAAAGACTTCGACTTACATTCCCTTGACAATCAGCTGCATCCCTCTCCTTGTCCTCTTCATCTGCTATGCTTTGCTGTGCACAGGGAAAGTCAAGGAAAGATTACTGATGAGAGTCTGCTGTTTCTGTTCGTTGCTATCAGGCACTGGGATACAAAGCCATTTCTAGTTACAATACATTTATTCGCTTCCCTAGCTCGTGGCACAAAAAGATGGGGCTTAAGATTGAGAATCTGAGACAAGAGCCAGCATCTGGCTCTGTGCTCCTCAGCAAGAAGTGCTGCGGAGCATCTCTGGTCATGTCTGTGCTATGGTGGAGAGGACCCAGCAAGTTTAGATTCATGCACCGGCCCACAATCAAAAGACAGAGAAGAAACAGTACATGTTTATGTTTAGAACAAATCCAGCAAGCATAAGACTATTGTAACACTGAAGAAAACCTTTCATTCCAATAGTGCTTTATGGAGGGCAGATCAAAATACACCCCTAAAATGCAAGTCTAAAAATCAGTGTTCAATAACTCAGACCACTGTTTCTTATTTGTTGAAGCTCATGCTGCATAAAAACACATTTCATCTGTAATACCCCTACATACTATAAAATTAAAGTTAATATTTTACTTGTACGGTCACTTATGCGGATTGTCACACTGATACAGGAAACAATCAGCAAGTTAATCACGGATACACATCCCTCAATTTGGCAGGCAATTTTCTCCAGCTTTCCAAAGACAACTGCTCCTAAGCCAGGGCTGGGCATCTCCTACAAGAGTGCAGAAGGACAGAGGTCCTTCTCTGCGCTCATGCTGGACCATGAAATCCAAGGACCACATTTATTACCGAGGATAAGGAAGATCTGGGATGGCACATACCTGCTCCTTCAGGTTTTCTAATAATGTTTCCATTTTCAGTTTCTCTTCTCTCACTTTTTCTAACTCAGCTTCTCTCTTTTTGTATTCATCTTGGACTTTCAAAAGATGCTGGAAGAGAAAAGATAAACTCAGTTCTTACCCTGCCTTCCACCTCCTACTATTTGAAGACTATAAAACGAACCAGGGCTTTCCCATGAAGACCAGGCAGAGCACATTCACAACAATTAAAAGTTCAGTACACAACAAGAAATCTTTTCTACAATGCACCTTAGGAACATCTTTGCCTATGAGCATACAAAAACCCCACAGCTTTGCAAACACGGGGCAGTAATTCCACCATCACCAAACCTTCGCTGTCCCTGAAATGAAGCATGTGTTGCGCACGAGACCGCGGGCCTGACCCACGTGAAAGCTCCCTCTTCTCTCCCCAGTCTGGTTCAGGCTGTGGCCATACAGCCACACAGGGAAGAGCAGCACAGAAACCAGTCACCTGGAGAAGTCACCCTAAAGTCTTCCTGGGTCTCTAGCCCCACCTGAATAGAGAAGTGTCTTGCAATTTAAGAAAACACTCTGAAACAGCTATGGGATGAGGGATTTGCACTGTTATTTGCACAACTCCACACTGCAGAAAAACGCGACAGCTGCTCAGCGGTGCAGGGTGCTGGCAACAAACACCACGGCAAGCCCTGCGCTGCCCTGACCGGCAGAGCTCAGGAGAAAGGCTGGGCAGTGGATCGCAGCCCACATCTCAGAGGGGAGCAGAATGAAACACTCCAGCCCAGCCTGGTGTCTATCCAGTAGAACCGAGCTGTGGTTGTGGACACACCAGTCTGCTTTCAGAGCAAATCTGTGCTCCTGAATGTGTCCATATGGAAAGCAGATGAGCACAAAAACCTAACTGGACAAACCACTGCAGGCAACAGAGGAAGAGTATAACTGATTCCAGAAGAAACCAGTGCTCAGCAAGCTGCTAACAGCACTGGGCCTCCCAAAAATAGGCAAGATCAAGTCCCCATAAGGAGAAAAGTTTAAACACTAACATGGCAGAAGCACTAGCCCAGCAGCTTTCCTAAGTCAAACCAGGACACACAAATATATGTATATTTTGATTAATGCTTTCTTCCATGCTTAAAATACCCCAAATCAGTTGTTTAATATTTTTCTCCCTCATCCAGAAGAAAAAAAAAAAAAAGATTCATAATCCTAGTCATGAATAGTTACAAACAAACAGCATCTTTTTTCACCAAGGCAGTTCTTCCGGAGTATTCTCTGCTCCACACCACAGCCCCTCTGCCTTTGCAGCAAGGCTGTACCTACAGAAAAACCCCAGCCCACCTTCTGCATGCCCTGCAGAGCCTGCTGGAGAAGCTTCATCTGCTGCTCCTTGGTCGTGTCTTCATCCCTGCTGGCTTTGCCCTGTTCCTGCTTGAGCAGTTCCACCTCGTTCCGGTAGGCGTCCAGCTGCCAGCGCAGACTGTCGTTCTCTTCTTTCAGGGCTTCCACCTGTGACACCAGCGCTGGAGAACAAGGCAGGCAGGGATCAAAAAAATCAAAGAACTGGGGAAAGAAGTCCCTGCGTGCTCCCCCCCAGCGCACAGTGGCTCCATAGCTCCCAGCACCCAAAATCAGCAGCACCAAAATGAATTTCTCCCAACCACTGTGCGATATCTCTTTAGAAAACAAGCTCCTCTGGACAAAGAGCACCTCTCACTAGTGAACGCAGTGTTTAAGTTGGAAGAAAAAAAAAAAAGCAGCAAAAGAACATACTGGGGGGAAATGACCATGCTGGCAAGGAAAGTTTCCCAACCAGCAACGCTGAAAGACTCTGGGACAGGCTCCACTGCACCTTCAGCCAGAATGCCTCCATCAAGTCATGGGATGAAACACCTGTGTCAGTCTGGTGAGCACGTAGGGCTTGATAAATTCAGGAACAGATTTATATAACATTATGGCTGCAAAGACAGCTTCAGCAGGTTTCAAAATGTCCCCATGCTGAGGAAGGCACAGCCCGAATGCAGAGAACGGAGAGATTTTGCCTGGCCAGTTGGCCATCCGCTCTGCTCTTTGCCCCCGTTCACCATCTGGCCACACAGAGCAGGGCAGGCAAGGAGAGTCTCTAAGCTTCTACTACAGCTGGAGGAAAATTCAGAAGGAAGAAAAGACTGGATGTTTTTAGGGAAAATGTTTGGAGACGTGGGCCTTTTGTACTTTTCTGAGGCAGAAGGCAGCTTTGGGACAAACTACATTGCCTAGGACAAACCTAAGGACCTGGCCACTTCTCTTCAGATGATCTAAGCAAAGTGTGGTGAGCAATTGAGAGCACTCAGTCTGGTAAAACAGACCATAGAAAAATTGTGCTTAGACAGGTTCAGGGGCTGGTGGCAAGAGAGCACCAGGAAAATGTTTTGGAGGCACTAAAATGAGAACTCAGCCTCCTACGGCAGGCTCATCCCAGCGCTGGGCAGTCAGCAGCAGTGCACCGAAACATTTTTGTCGCAGGGAGGATGGACAAACACCGGCTACACAACGAGGCACCAAGAGGAAAACAACTGCAGATAACTGCAGTTCCACTGGGACAATTTGGGGGTACGGAACAGACAGAATGGGGCTCCTGAAAGAAACCACTGAAGAGACAAGTACCGTTGTTTATGAGCTGTAAAAAGCAGTTTTACCCGATTCTTCTGTTTCTTTCATCTCTGCTGGATCTTCTATTTCTTCATCAGACATTTCCATTTCCTCCTCTCTTCGAATACCCATCAGTTCATCATTATGAATGTTACGCATTTCCTAAGGTTCAGAAAGTAGAGGGCTTTTTAAAATACAGATTACAAGGAACAGATTGGGCAGATAAAAAGATGCTGAAACCTAAGTCTGCAAAATGCAACTCCATGATACAAGCAAGGGGAAATGATAAAAAAAAATTGGCACAGACTATTAGATGAAGGACAGTGTGTAGCACGAGTCAATCCATCAGTGCTACTGGTATTGCTGGCTCTTCCATCCCCCTCCACTCCTTGCCCCAGAGCAGGCACCAAGCCTTGCCCGCAGTGGAGTTTCTCGGTGAACCCTCTCTCCCATCTGCCCTGTTTGACACCCACACACCTCTCCGACACTCAGCACTGCCCAACCTCACCACTCCACTGGGTCACCACCTTGTGCCTTCTTGCTCACACCCAGACTCCTGCTGCCGCGAGTTGCCATCGGTGCTTTCCCCGGCTCAGCGCCCGTGACGGATGCACCCACTCCGAGCGAGCGGTGCTTTGGTTCAGCTCTCACCCACAAGCGTGCCTGGCTGCAGTCAGCCTGCCGTGCGAACCGTGAGAAGCTGCGCGAGGACGTATCTTCCCAGGAGCTAACAGCACCAGCCCGAGCTGGGACGAGACCAAACGAACCCTGCCCCAGCCACACACGCCCCAAAGCGGGGTTTGACGGCGAGTCCATCACTTGGCGCTACAGAATCCCAGAACACGCTGGCTGGTAGCTGCTGCAGCGTGGGGGGTCACCGGGTCTCAAGCTTCCACAGCTGCTTCGTGAGCTGCCTGGAACACTGCCTTAGGTCACCACTGATAAAACCCAGCCCCTGCGCTGCCCGCCAGGCTCTCCTCCGATGCCATGACCCACAGGACGAAATCCTGCCAGACGCTGTACCGAGAAGACTGAGCCTAAGCCGGGAGAGACCAGCAGGCTGAGCCCAGCAGCAAGTGCTCCTGGAAGAGGCCTCGTCAGCAGTCTCACGGCCTCTTCCCACCGGGAGAACTTACCTTGGAACACAAGACAGCTCCAAATGGAGAGAGCGCTCCCACCCCAGTCAGAGCAAGCAATCTCAGCAAGCAGGAAAGAACAGGAGCACCAGGGCTCAAAGCTGAGGCATCATCTGAACAGACTCTCCACCTGGCTTACCAGGTACCAAACGAAACACCGGCTCCTCCTTCAGCCACTGCGGAAGGTTCGGCTCAGTGGGATTTGGAAGGAGAGTCCCAGAAGTGCAGTCTGATGGGGAGAGCCCAGCTGGGAAGTTCCTAGAAAAGCCCAGCCACTGGGAGCTTCCCAGCCTGGTGCAGACCCATCACCTGCTTTTGACCAGAAGGCCAGCGGCTGGCTATTACCCAACTCCGCAGATTCTTCTCAGGTCACAGCTATGGGGGAAGCTGCCAGCTGCAGCCAAGCAATGTGACATCCCTTCTCCACCGGTGACAGAAGGCAGCATGTATTCCACCACAGACTCCAGGACAAACATCTCCCCAAACCATCACCTTCCCAAGAGACAGTCTGTCTTTACCTTCACTTTTCCTGACATTGTGCCTGACTCCAGTAAGATCTGATGAGATCAGGTAAAGGGCTGAGAACTATTTTTCCTCTTGCAGGAAGAGCAGTTTGAGGGATTTGCCTTCTTCCATCAACCCCACCCCTGTCACCGCCTTTAAATCCTGTATCTCACTGTCAATGTCACTGCATGGGACAAATACACAAATCCCAGAACATCCTCCCTCAGGTTTTCCAGACTGCCCAGCTGCAATTATTTCCACCTCTCCAGTCTGTCAATAAAAACATGATCACACAGATCTCTGATGATGCTCAGGGTTCGTTGGGGTTTTTTAACATCTCTCTAGAAACCTCTCTTGCTTTAACATTAAAAACATCAGAAAACAGATCAATAGTTACTATTACTGTGCACAACTTCCATCAGCATACAGTGCTACTAGTACCACAAATACAAAGAGAAAATGTATTACCTGCAACGCAAGAGACGACTGAGTAACTCCCACCTTACACTGTGAATTAAGGTGTTGTTATCCACGCGAGCATTGCGCAAACTTAACATCAATATCCTGACAAGAAAGAGACTATGCTGGAGGATCTAACACAATAAAAAATTACCAACCTCTGCTTGTTTGCACCACACGCTGATGTTCTTACGCTGAGCTTTCGTGAAATGGTCCCAAGCCTTTTGTTTGGAGGCAGAATGGTACACGGCCACTATCTGCTCGACTGTAGTATCAAATCAGCAGTCAAATCAGGCCAGAATATCATCCAGAGAGGGCAGACAAGAGGAGTAAAGGAGTAAAAAAGTGGAATCAGGCAGGTGGTTTGGCTAACCTTTTCTCATAACACTGTACTGTGCTGAAGCTACGCTCAGGAAAGGGTCCCTGCGCCTGGAAAGAGAAGCGTGGACTTCACCAGGCCAGTGTCAAACGCTCCCAGAGTAACGGTCAACTGGGAAAAGGGCAGCTGCTCTCAACTGGGAAAAAAAGGAAGGCACACACTGCGCTGAAAAATATTCAAATATTCTGTGCAACGCTGCCTGTGAGTGCAACAGGTACACCCGGGGAGCACTGGCTCTCTGCAGCGGGATGCCTGGGTACAGCGGTGGAAGCTGGCACCCTGGATGTTCCTCTGCCCAGTGGCGCCGTGCCCACGAACAGTGCCACAGCCTGGCCCGTGCCTACTGCAGGACCAGGATTCTGGCATCAGCCATCAGCTTTTCTTGTTCCAGAGCTCTATTCATTCGAAAGTATTTTTCTAGAAAATTTGCAGAGGTTTTTGGAAAAACAAAGTGCCCCTCCTGGGAGGAGAGCTCACCCAACAGCAGAAAGCACATCAAATTTTTTTTTTTTTAACGCTTGTGATGCTGTAGTAGGCGTTATTCTGACAAAATAAAATCAGCTCTTGGCTACTTAGATTAACCTGTGAGTGGATGAGATATCAGTGGGTGTTTTGTAGAGCGGAGTTGCATGTTACTGTCTATTACTACTTACTCTGAAGCACTTATTGTATTTTCCTCTGGACCGTGTGCCCATATTTTTTACCATTAACAGAATTAAAAAAAAAAATTAAAATCAAGTATCAAACAAGTAACAGTCAAAACCACTGAATATAAAACCAATAGTTAAGAATATTCACAGCCTAGTTAAGAATATTCACAGCCTAGCCAGGGGGCTCAAGGAGACTAAGTACGATTGTGGAGAAGGCACTCTGAAAGGTACTCTTAAAAAAAAAAGTAAAAAAATATTGACTTACTAGAAAAAGGATGTGTAAGAGATAATGAACAGTTTGAGGAATTGTTATAAATTACATCTTGGAAATAATATAGCCCGTGCCTCTTCCTTGATTTCATGGTTTAATAAAGTACTGGGATTTGAAAGACCCAGGTTCAAAAAGCTGTTCTGCAAGGGTTGAACAGGGTGTTGAGAACACTCTGCTGCATCCTACCTTTGGCGAATAAATCCTGCACACTTCGCTGAGGCACCAGTTACCAGGAACTTACCTTGTCTGTGCACAGAGTGGAGGTGAAAAGATGACAAATACTAATAGACTACAATTAAAAAAGGAAAAAAATTAAGAATTCATTCCCTCCTCCCCCCAGATGCGGACTCTCACTCCAATAAAGAGTACCACAAGAAACTTTTGCCACGTTCATGATCTATGCCTACAGATCAACCGGAGCTGCACAGAAGCCATTGCTGCTTCTTTTCCTGGAGCTCTTTCAGCGTGGCCTTTCCAGGATCTAGAAATTAAGTGTCTTCCCTACAACAACAGACAGCCAACATTCAGCGTGGAAACACTACTCACACTGAACCAGAATCCCTGAGAGAGCGAGTTTGAATTTCTCTTTAGCTTCTTCCATCTCTTTCTCGTGAGCTGCCTTCTCATTCACCAGCCTGCGGATGTGGCTGTTGGCCGACTGGATCATGGAGTAGAAGTTGTTGGCTGTCCTCCTATTCACTTCTCCCCGCTCTATCCAGGTCAGCAAGGTCTGTATGGCTTCCGAGAACTTGGTGTCATCTGCAGCGAGAAAGGAGACCTTGGTACCACAGCACCACAGGGTGGCTTGTGCAGCTTGCGGGTCCTTGCCTGGCACCGTTGAACTGCTCTCTTCCAAAGGCCAACTCCCTTCGGGTGGCCAACCACAACTCCAGAAAGCCCTGTGTTATCCGACTACAATGCTATACAAAGGCAGGCAAGCCTACCACCAAGCTGGTGGAGCAAACCGGTTGTCGAGGTGCAACAAGAGGAGGACCGACTGCTAGAAACCCAAGAGAACTTCACCTGCCTGTTCAGATGTACCTTCACGAAAGAAAATATCATCCAGCCCCAAAAGAATCAGGCCACACGTGCCTCTCTTAGGCTTCAAATAAGGTTTTAGGACTTACGCTAATCCTTTTAACATGAACAGAAGTGGTTTGGAAGAAACCATTGTACTCAAAGCATGGGTTTGTTTTTACAAGAAGACAATTGTGAAAAAGAGATGGCGAGGAGAGCGGCTGTGCGCAGCCCGAGGGCTGTCTGAACAGGCTCCGCAGGCTCTAGGTGGCACCATCATTTCAGTGCAGCAAGGTGACAACTGGAGAACACCAGTCTGTCCCAGCCAGAACCACTCACCTTTCAGTTTCTCAGCGACAACACTGCACTCGTGGTCAGAGTAATGGACGACGGGCGGCGGGGAGGGCGGGCGGAAGCGCTCCTCTTCCAGCCTCCTGCGATGGCGCTCCTCTCTCGCCAGCATCCGCTGCTTACACTCCCACTCGTACAGATCGTCCCGAGCCTGAGCAAAATCCACATGCAGGCGTCCAGTATCCTTCTTGTCTGTGCTGGAGCCCAGCCTGATGCGATAGCCTGGCAGTGATGAGAAGAGTGTGCTTACCGGAGGCTCCTGCCACCCGCCAGTGCCCGTCTCATTCCTGCAGAGCCAGAAAACCCCTGAACTCAAGAGTTTACTGCAGAGTTTAGCACACAGAGAGCGATGCTGGAAAAGGAAACTGTGAGGGGGTTTGCTGCCAGCTGCCTACATTTTGCACATGCTAGGCAAGATCTCACACGGGCTGGTTTGTTTCACAAGCTCCAGAAATCGGAGATAGGAAGGGGGGATTGAGGTGAGACACGGCAGAGAGGGCAGCAGATGGATGGGGGTAACCTTGGGAAGAGCCCCCATCATCCGGTGGGAGCGGGAATAAGGTCAGCAAACGCGAACGTCCAGGTGTGGGAACTCTTCTCACCAGCAGTCTGCAGGACTCCTGGAGTTTCACATCAAACCTGCTAGAAGGCTCTCTGCTGTGATTAAGAAAAGCAGAGGTGGGATGTGCAGAAGAAAATCTAAACTACGGAGAGGCTTTGTACAATGAACAAACCCAGAATAACGCTTGCACATGGAGGACACTGGTGACTGTGCACATGGCCAGCTACAAGCAGAGAACGCCCTAGCTCAAGAGGTGGTACTGGCTACGTAGGGGTAACCACAAAGAGACACAGCTCTTACTAACGGGGCACTGCAGGTCTAACTCAATTCTGCAGTCTCTGGAAAGAGACGCAATGCTTACAGTCAGTCAGAAGTCCTACAGAAAAGTTTCCATTATTTTAAACAGCAAAGAGCATTTCCCTCGCTTACTTCCACAATCTCATCTCTCTGAGAGTATGGGCTTTTCGATTTGTTAATATATTGAGAGAATTAATTTGGAAGGGATTGTAGGATGGCAGTAGAAAGCATTACTGTATTCTTCCAGAATGCAGAGAGTCAGGTGGAGAGCCCAGGCTGCTGGGGGCAGGTGTAACCACCCCAGCAAACACACCCGATCTGCCAGCGATGCAGCCTGCCAACACCAGCCATGAGGTCTCTGCCCTCCGCGAAACAAACCTCTTAAAACCCTACGGATGCAGAACAGAGTATCCCTAGGCAAGAGGAGTCCAGGTGTTCAAGCTCTGATGGCTAACAGAAAAAAATACTGATAAAAGTCAAGCACACCACCCAATTAACAAGCAATCGAGAGCAACTACAAATTTTTATAGGACCCATTATGTACAGAATGTGCTGGATGTTTATCCAGGTAAGATAGGGATGAACTCTGTACTTCATCCTGATATCCTGCAGAGGTTTGCAGTACCCAGGGTCACAAAGCATTGCTCTCTTTCCTATCAGGAGCTGTTTGCATGTGTTTAAGCAGAAATGCAAAAGCAGCAGGAAAAGAGGCTAACTGACACAACATTAGACAAATCTTCCCAGGGCAACAAAGCCTACCATTATAGCTATAAAAAAGTCATTCCATCTCTGTCCCAGAATTTTAAGCTGCTATCTGAGACACACATACACCTACCAGAAAGATAAAGCGCCTTGTCCACCATGAACTCCTCAGCAAAGCGGATATGACAGAAATTCTTCTTGCTCTTTCGAATAGCTATGACTTCCCCACACTGTTCAAACACTTCCATAATGATCTGCTCGGTCGCGTTCTCCGGCAGTCCTCCAACGAACACCGTCTTACACCCCGGGGGCCTCTCTCTTGTTGCTGGAGGGGGAAGGTCTGCAGAGAGGAGGAGAGAAAGCAGACCAGGTTAGTTTTTGTTTTGTCAGCGCACGTTCCTTTCATCTGCCCTTCTCTCCTGGGAGACGACCAGACCATCCTGGCTTCCTTCAAACCCACACCTAGCCACGCCGCCTTCGACTTTACGAGCAGCAGATCTAGAGCACTGCTGAGGCGCTATACGAGAACATGCATGTTTTTCCAGCCTGTTTCAAACAAAAGATCTCAGGAGCCTGAAGCCCTCCAAACACTCTCCCTAGCGCAAGCAAAGGTTCACTGAGCTCCTGGCACAGAACACAAGCAGCACTGCGATCTCAAAACTTCATCATGGGAGGTGCTCTACTAGCATTAGTAGTTTGAAGGGGATCCTTGTTTCTTGCTACAGCCTGGTGAGCCCTGACTGTCTGTTTCTTTCAGATTTCTGTCTTATTTCCCACTGCCTCTACTCTCCTTCCATCACATTCTGCAATCCCCAGAGCACAGACCCAGCACGGACCACGCTGGCTGATCCAATCCCCCTACCACGCAGAGCTCACTGTCTTTGAAGCCTTGGATAACACAAGCAAGAATCATGCCATGAAGATTAGACTTCAAATATCCAGGGACTGGAACGCTTTCTTCCTGAGTTCCTATCAATCTAACAACTGAAAAGGCGATTTACCAAAATGGCAAACACCCGGTGACAAGAACAGGCTTTTCCTACTGCTCCCTCACCTGCCTGTCAGCACCTAGTCCCTGCTGACTCGCCCAGAGCTCTTCTCTCTTGTACTTTTTTATACATACACACACCTACACACATATTCCTATACAGACAGACAGAAATGGGACAAAACACAAATAGTTACGTGGGTTAGGCGGGAAGAGAGTGCAGCTTTTGCAGTGAATGATCTCCTTCACGGCAGGCATGTCCGGAGGGATGGGAGGTGGGACTATTCCCAAGCCTGGCATCATGGGGTTGATGGGAGGGATGCCAGTCATCATCCCAAGAGCAGGATCAAAATCTAAATGAGAGAGAGGATAAGGGAGTCAGGTAGTGGTTTGGACTCACACAGTAACTGTTCATTCAGACAGCACTCTGAATCCACTGCAGAGTATCTAGAGGTACCCCACAAGAACCACTGTTTGCATCAAAAACCATGTATTCTCATTTCCTCTGAAATCAGTTTTAAACCACTGGCCTCTAAACAAATCACTTGCAGATGTTAATGTATTTCAAACACAGCTCACTAATGTTTTTGTATGCAGAAGGCACTTATCTGACTCAACTGAAATCGGTTCTTCCCAAAGACGTGTTTGAAAGCAAAGGTGGGCGCAGCCTGGATGAGCTCACGTACCAGGCAGGAGGGGCTGTCCTGCCATCCCCATGGGAGCCATCCCCAGGTTGTTCATCGCAGTGGTCCAGGCAGCTGGGTCGGACATTGGCAAGCCCATCGGAATGGAGTCGAGGCTTAGATTTCCGCCACCATCTGCTGAGAGGAAAAAAAGTGATTAAGAGCTTAGTGCATATCTGAGCTCTTCTGCAGGGCATGTGTCGCCCAGCGAGGCTGTGCAGGATCAGCATCCAAACCCAGATTTGAACCTCACACATAGGAAAGAGCCAAATGAAAGAAATAAACAGTCTCATCCCTCTCAAGTAGACGACACTCTACAGAAGCAAGGTCTATGAAAACACTGCCTTCCAAGAGCATTTAAATAAATTACGGTTTATCCACTGCAATCAACAGCTCTAAGGGGCCTTAAAGGAGCAATGATTAAAGGTCAGGGGTACGCTCTGATTCCACCCAAGAGATTCATGAAGGACAAACATTCAGCAGGTATAAATTGTCATAACTGCGCTGGATTTAACCGAGATAACCAGTCTGTTCCAGCAGAGAGTACTTTCACGAGCAGACATTGCTCTTCCATGCTAAAAGGGGAAACGAAGCAAAGATCAACGTCACGCTGCTGACAGCAGCAGCACCAGTGTTATCTACTCCCAGTCCAGCAGAGTTGTCCGGCAATCCAGGCGGAACAATTAACACTATACAAACAGGTGGCTTAATTAAGCATCCAAACCTTCTCCGGTGATTCAGCTGGGTCAACCACGTCCACCTCCTGCATTAACACCTCAGCCTAGCACTGGTCTTCGGTCTATGCTCACATGGATGCCTCCTCTGCTGCCAGCCACCGACCTGCTGCTCAGCTCACCTGGAGGAACATTTGCTCTCTTCCTCTTCTTGCCCGCATCACTTCCATCCTCGGCTGGGCTTTCCGACACCCGCGGGCCAGCAGCACTGCCCAACTGCAGAGATGATTTGGCGTTGGCAGGATCAAAGGACAGATGGCTTAAGCCTAGAAGAGAAAAATCCACTCAGAGACTTGCTTTAAATTGGTTTGCGATGCTTCATGATCACAGAAATAAGAGCAATGTCCAGTCCCAGGGACAGGCACCGCTCAGGCTCCGGAGGAACTGCGCCTCCGTTCACTGTCCCCAGCCACGCCTGCTCCTGACATTACATCAACAGCACTTCCAAATATGACTCTCAAACATTAATCCCAACACCCACATGAATTAAGCTGATGCTGTAAACCAGGGGTACGCCTCCCCTGTGCCCATGAAGGGAAGGAGCAAGCCCAACCGTTCAGTTGCAACGGTGACAGCACGCGGTCCTGACAGGCTCCGGCAGCCTGACGACTGCAGTGCTCAGAGGGTTTCTCTGCCTGAAACAGCTTCTCTGGAGTTTCATTTCCAATGTTCCCCTGCCTGGCTGACCAAAGCTGTAACTATCTTCAGTGGCCTCTTAAAACTACAGGTAATGATAAAAAAGTACTTTGTAAACAATTCCAAATGACCGGAGGCTACAAACACAAAGCTTTGAGTGTGCAACCATCACAGCAAGGTTTCCAGAGGTATACTGCCCCTGACGGAGCACTGAATTCCTTACTCCACCCTGCGGGGATGCAAGACTGAAGAGACACTAAAATATCCAGTTTGATTTATCTTTGTCTTGGCAAACTCACCCTGAACAGTCAATGGAAAAAAAAAAACCTCCAACAAATCTTTTTTTGTGGACCCATATAAAGTGATAAACCCAGCTCAGGCATGCCCGCGCTCCTGGGGGAAATCCGCAGAGCTGCAGCAGCACCGAAGGTGACAATCCTGCCATCTCAACGCACAGATGGGCCAAGGCGTTTGTACCAAACCATCCTCTAGACACACTGCAGCGTCGTGATTTCTGTTCTAGAGGATTCCGCTTCCAAGAACTCGTTAATAAACATGGTTGCTGTGTATGGCTGTAAATAGACAAGAGCATGGATCCGGAGAGCCTGAGGGCTCTCCTCCTAGCTACTGAAAGGTGAGAACGCAAGAAGAAGCCAAAAAAATAAGTACTATTCAGCTGGCAACAACAATAGTCATGCCCAACCACACGTGATGCCTACAATGCTGTTTCTTACATACCCAAAGTCCAAATATCGCTGAGGTCGTGAGGGCTCAGGAAAACAAATCTCGAATGCAGCAGGTTAAAAATAGAGAGAGGTCGCACGCAGCAAAGAAACAGGGAGAACAGAAGAGGAGCAATGGTAAGGTTTACCTCTATGATCATCCCACTGATGGAAAAGGCAACATTAAACTTGAGAGTGTGTTCTCCCACACTTGGGTGTAGG